AAAAATATAGTGACTAAACAATATGCTAATTTAGCATATGCTAATTTAGCAATATGCTAATTTACTAAATATAGTGAACACATTTCTGTATTAATTAATGTGAGCATCTATGGATATCAATAATCATAATGACTTCCTAGAAATTTTTCATGTAGCTTTCTTTTTGTTGCTTGTGGTCCTGGGATTGAACCCAGGTCCTTGCATATACTAGGCAAACACTGTACCATTGAGCTATATCCCCAGTGCTTATCATATAGCTTTTACACATTTTAACTGGGAAAACATTTCTTTAAGTTTCTTAGTGGGCCTATGTTGGAGTACCCAGTGAAATTCATCATTAGAGTAAATTCTTGGAAGTGGAAGTGCTGAATCACAAGATTTAGAGGTCTTTGCGACATTCACTAAAATTGCTGTGTAGAAATGTGAAATTTTTGGCTGCTTTAYTCTCTTGGAATTGATATTGGATGCTACTGTCCTCTTAAAACTACTAGTGAGATATCATTGTTTTAAATTGGATTCTTTGTTTGCAAAGCAAACATTATTTTTTCATGTTTATTAATTTTAGTAAATTAATAATAACATTGAAAGGGATATTAGAAGTGTGCCAGACTAACATTTGTGGCATCTTTAAGAAGCACACCCCAGTCTCTTTTTGAGTAATTTCTATGCAGTAAATTCATTCACTGTCATACACTCTGTTACAGAATGATTCTAATGTTAAGTCAGGCCTATCCTGTCATAGAACTCTCATTCATTGATCTTTATTCTTATTCTAGGTCAACAAAGATCATTTCTATTTCCCCTTCTATTATTTGACACATTCCCCTTGTTTACAGTTTACAAAATTGCTTAACAAGTCCACTAAATTCATTATTAGGAACCAGGATAAATAATCAGAGGAGAAATTACACAAATTTCTGAGCAAGTTTATACATGACCGCTTAAGGCACACTTAAAATTAAGGTGTTTTAACCATGTTAATTATAGCGTTTTGAATTCCATACTGTTATTAGAAGAGAACTGACACCTAAAACTACTTGTATGGTATTGATAACCTAATTATTTGTCAGCATATATTGTGAGAAAAATTGAATTAGAAAATGTATGGACAACTTCAAGAAAAAATATGTAACATTCAAATCTCATTTCAAAATAGACCTTATGTGAATAAAACACCTGAGGGATTGACTATCTGCTTTTACCAACAAYTTGTGGCAGCAATTATCCTATGCTCAGATATGACAAATGAAAGTCTACTTAGTTTTTGAAATTTAAGGCTTAAAACTACAGGTAGGTRCAAGAAGTTATTATTTGGGGGAATGCCTTATCTTCTTACTTTTTGTCTTAATGGTAGCTCCCAAGGGTTTTAGAACTGGCTCATAGGGGGCTCTTGGAATGCCCCGMTTTGAGTGAAAAGTATCATCTTATTCTGTTTGAATGTAATAGTAGCCAGACCCCATAGAGCTCTGACCATTTCCAGGCACTGTTCTAAGGCCTTCATGTGTTTAAGTCATTTAATTTCAGTATAATCTTAGGCAATCGCTGTTATTATCATCCCCATCTCACAGCTCAGCAAACCACAGCAGAGAGAAACTACGTGATTCACTCAGAACCAAATTAACTAACTTGGTTCTGAGTAGATCAAATCCAAACATAGACACTCTGGCTTGAATTAGCCCTCTGCCACCACTCTGTGCTGCTGTCCAACAAGCATCATATAAAAMCCTTAAAAATTGGTGTGTCACAGTCAAGTCATCTGGTATTTTGTCAAGGACCCACTATGTGAAAGCCACCACTCAAGGTCCTTTYACTTTCCTTTTATTGCTTCCTAGGGCAATACAATCATCATCTTCTCTCTGCAGCCAGAGCTCAGAGGAGGGAGATCAGCTACAGTCTTTCCTTTTCACAGAATTAGTGCTAAGGTTGCCAGAGCCCACAACAGGCCCTACATATGAGGTATTTTTGCCTAGAACTTTCTTTAAGTCTTTCATTGCATGCTTCTTCTTCTTTATCTTCCTCCATGACATCTACTCTTAGGAACRATCACCTCTTCTCAGTCCCCAACACACTTTCATGGTAACCACTCCCCCATGTCGATGTCTATGTGAAGGAAGCAATTTGTTGTTGGCCTTCTGATCTAGTCCTGTGTAGAGTTTCCCTTTCTCTTGCAGCTTTATCAATCTAACCACATTTCACAGGCAGCCATCTATGTAAGTAGTGCAATTTGTTATAATTCCAAGAAGATTCTTTTATGCCCTGCCTGCTTCTATCCTGCTGTGGATAAGACAAAATATTTTATTTTTACAAAAAGATACTTAATTTAGACACCACCAGATGAGTCAGCCAGAAAGCAAATAGTCCAAAGGCAGGCGAGAGTTCTGTGGGCTTTGGGGAAAATCAAGGTCTGATGTTARCTAGTCAAAAAAGGGAAGTTCCTGCTTCTAGCCCACCCTCCCAAACCTTTTTTACTTCATCAACAATTTTCTGGGGGAAAGGTATATTCTTAACCCARTAACTGCAAGGCCTAACTACATCAYAGCCCACCTTTCCAGTATTCACCAACTTGTTATGGTTACAGATTCCTTTACTTTCTTAAAATGATCATTCTGTTTTCAAAGCACAGACATTGGCTAAATAGCATGCTATTATTTATAGGAGATGGCATATTGTGAGGGAGGCCAATCCAGCATGATTTGGGAAAAAAATTACCCACCTACCTTAAGGCTTTTGGACAGCAAAACTCTCCTAAAAAAAATCTGTAGTTCCAAATAACTTATGTAGGTACTCTGCCTACTCTAAAAACAGAACTAAACTCCTCTCCTCAAGTGTGGGCTGTGCTTGGTTAAGTTGCTTCCAGAGAAAAAGTAACATTCGGGTGGGTGCTGTAAGCTGTTATTACTGCAAAATGGGCAAACACAGTCTTGGACAGGTGACCAAGGCTGACATCAGCAGTGGGAAGTCAGGTTGATAGCACATATCTTGGATTGGATGTGATGAGGGCACTTGCGTTCTGTGGCCTTCCTCCCAACAATGAATGACACCAGTTTAAGAAAAATGTCAGGCAAACCTAAATTGAGAGGTATTATACCAAAAGTCTGACCCATATTCTTCACAGTTGTCAAGATCATGATCCACAAGAAAAGTACAATGAGCTGTCACAGGCCAGAGAAGTCTCAGGATTCAGATAATGAAGTAGAACATTTTTGTTATTACAGAACATGGAAATTAGCAAAATACTAGTAGAAACTCTTAAAAAATTGAAATTTGATTACTCATAATATAACCAATTTGATTTTTTAATTGGGATAAATGGTAAGATATTAACAATAGAGGCTRGGYCCAGTGGCTCATGCCKGTAATCCCAATGGCTCAGAAGSTTAAACAGGAGGATAAKGAGTTCAAASTCATCGTCAGCAACAGTGAGGCACTAAGCAACTCAGTGAGACCCTGTCTTTAAATAAAATAAAAAATAGGGCTATGGATGTGGCTCAGTGGTTGTGTGCTCCTACGTTCAATCACCTGTACCARTAAATAAATAAGGAATCTGTAACAATAACAARTTGGTGAACACTGGAAAGGTGGGCTATGATATAGTTAGGGCTTGTAGTTATTGGGTTAAGAATATACCTTTCCCCTAGAAAATTTAAGTATTATTTCTTTAGGTCTGGTGCTCCCTAGACATTAATAATGATTTTTKACAACCACCAGTGGAGGCTGTTAAGTTTGAAATCTATAATAATGACTATTAAGTATTTGAGATTATTTATTATTTATTAYAAATCAATCAATAAATGATATTGACAATAGAGAAAACTGGGTGAGAGGTATACCAGAACTCTGAAYAATTGTCATATCTTTTCTGTAAACCCAAAAAGAATTCTAAAATGAGAATTTTGTTTATGTATATAAAAAATCAATAAATTCTTACTTCAAGCTGTATATATAGCTTCTGATATTAATGTTAAGGGTGCATAGATTTAATTTTGTTTGTATTGACATTTGAAGCTGGATTTGTGAGATACAGTAAAAATAGAGTAGAGGAAAAGGAAGGAGGGCAATTAACATTTATTGAATAATATTATATATTAGGTACATCACCATCTTTCATCCATTGTACCTCCTAAAGGAGGAGGTATACCACAGCAAAAGTCTCATTGCATAGAAGGAAAATTAAGGTCAAGGATATAAGAAATATCTCAAGGTCCTACAGCTACAAAATATGAAGCAGAGTTGAGGATGAAAGAGAGTCTTGAAGAGCCAAAGCATGCAGAGAAGGGAATCAGAAGGGCCCGGGCAGGCAAAGGTCCCCATGGCTCTCCGGGGCTTGGGGAAAATGGGTGTGTTTTTAGGTCTGGTGCTCCTTAGAYATTAATAATGATTTTTGACAACCACCAGCTATGGCTGTTAAGTTTGAAATCTATAATAATGAATATTAAGTATTTGAGATTATTTTCTTTTTTCTCACAGAATTTTCATAGAGCTAAATAAGGAGCTCCCTCTCTCCCTACATTTTGTTGATAAAAAAATCTTTTCTGTGGATTCAAATATTCTAAAGGTTTTTTTAATAGATGCATATGGTAAGCTCTAAATATACTGAACATTTGCATTTTGGATACCTTAAGTGAAGATGGATGACTTGACATGGATCACTTCTACTTGTTCCTCGTTGCCCTTGTAATTTACTCATCAGGAAAGGATGTATGTGTGTCTTTCTGTAAAATTTCATCCTGCATAATTTTTTTTTCTGACTTTCCAGTTGTTATGGGAACAGAGTTCTTGCTTAACTAGACTCTTGGCCTGTGGTTCTCACTCTTTTATATCATCACCTGGCTAGCAAGCATTTTATTCAAAGGTATGGCTTGATTAGTGTAAATAGATGTCACTAATAAGTACACAGAAACTGACTTTTTTTTTTTTTGGTAGAAGTATAATATGTACTTATTGCCACAAACTGTCCTTGTAGTTAATTTTTTATTTCATCGTGAATTATTTCTTTCCAGTGTCAAACCATCAGAAGATATAAATTTAGACATAAAATATGAGGAAAGAGATATTTATAAGAAAAAAACACCTAAACTTTATTATGATGAAACTATACAAAAATCAGCCAGTAAGTAATCACTGTTGATATAGTTTTATGTTGTTATTTTATAGATCAGTGTGAATCAGGGAAACAGCTAAATTCTGTATTCCAGAAATGTCTGTATTTCTTAAAAAAAAAAAAACTAATGTAAGATTTTATGATATCCATTAAACAAAGGAAGAAGGTAAGGTTCAGAGATATTAAGTAACTTATTTAAGGCTATACAGCATGTAAGTGATGAAACTGTAAGCCAGAAGACATGTGTAAAGTGCTTCTTGTGATTCCCAAAATAGATTGCATCAGAATGTTGATACTTCCCTAAAGCATTTAAGAAATGAGGACTCTGACAACTGGAGTAGAACTGGAGACCATTAATGTTAAGTGAAACAAGCAAGGCACAGAAAGACTAGTGCTACATAACCTCACTCATATGGAATCTAAGTTGATTTCATAGAATCTGATGATAGAATGATGGTTACCAGAACTGGGATTGTAACTAGAGCCCTTGCCTGTCATCTGGGAGGACCCTGGTTCCACCAGCACTGGGGAAATAACATGGGGTTACCAGAAGCTGGAGGTGGGGGTAGGGGATGGGGAAAAGGTGATCAATGGGTACTGCATTACAGTCAGCAGGAAGRAGTGTTCTCGTGGGTTATTGCACAGGAAGGTGACTCTAGATAATAATGGTATTCTGCATATTTCATGAAACCAGAAGAAAGAATTTGAGGTGTTTTTACTTCAAAGAAATAATAAACATTTGAGGTAATAGATATGTTTAGCTTGATTTAGACATGATGCAATTTATATTTGTATCAAACATCGCATGGTTCTCCATTAATATGCAGAATATTGTTTTATATACCAATTAAAACAAATTTTATCAGTTAATAAAAACAAATTTTATCAGTTAATAAATTAATTTAATTTTACTTTAATAAGGAAACATTAGTTTCCTTTTATCTTTCCTCAGAGTTCCTCTTTGCTAAATTTGTAATTTAATGAATATAATTTAATTTTAAATAAAAAATAAATTAAAGAGGAAAATATGAAAATGAATAAAAACCCTTTTTGCCTCAGGATCCAAAAGCTACACAGGACTTGTTTCATAGCAGGTGCTATCAAACCTACCCTAAGTACTGAGCCTCATAATGACAAAGGTACAGTTTCTATCCTCCCAGAGCTAATAAACAACATAAAGTCATATATTGAATTAAGCTTTCGTTTATTTCTATACCATTACCCACTTACATGTGAAGCCATTTTTTTTTCATTCTGTCCAAAACATTGATTTTAAGGGTCTGATTAAAATGCATTCCCATCATCTCTTTTGTGTGTATAATAAATACAGTGACACAGCCCTGGTTTACATTACTATGGAGTGAAAAAAATACCTGCCAATTCAAAATTATAGATTTTTTWAAAAAATTATATACTGAAAAGTAAATAGATTCCATTTCACAAAGGATATATAATTTTCTCATAGATAAAAGAGAAACTGAAACATTTCCAAACTGCAGAATATTCATTTTCAAGGGGAAAAAAAAGCAAAATAAAAAAAAATTAAATAAATGAAAGGGAAGTCTTGAGTTCATCTTGGTCCCTCTGAATAGAAAGGACCCTGGATTTATTTTGAACAGCTGTGTTTATAGTGTTTGCTGATCACTGCAGCTGTACCAGCTGAGTAACAGGAAGGTTCAGTTTTAAAAAGTTAACTTGAAAATGTGCAAGTTTCTTCTAAGGGATGAATGATATTGTCCTTTTCCCATGTCTTTCCCTAAAGCCTGCTGTTTTGAAAGTGCCTTTAGGTCATTAAGCATCCAAGGGCTGAAAGAGCTGCCGGAAGTGAAGAAACCTTCTTTCCTTCTAGACCTTGAGAAATACTTTAGGGAAGAGCCAGAGGAGGAGCATCCCCACATTYCAGAGCTTCCTTTACTTTCTGAAAGTAAGTCCTCAGTCATCATACACCTCCACTCTCTCTCTCCACTAATCTTCAAAAATAAAGTAGAAAAGCATGTTTGCCTTGTAGGTTATAGTGAAATGAAGTGGGTAATTTGATTGCTGAGATTTATAGCTCAGCTGCTGGTCTGTGCTCTCAGGAAAGTCAACAGGCTGGAAYTCAAAAAAAGGAATATTTTTATTTTGTCCCTTTCTGAAGTCAGAATGCCATGAACTTGTATTATGCATCTACTATGGATGAGAACCTCTCTCCCCAAAATAACCTTCATGTTCAAAACTGGTCCCAGAAAATGAGGCATCATGAGACTGCTTTAGAAGAGAATCTCTGGCAATCTGGTTTTGTTCTATTCATGTCTCTAAAAATAGAGGCCACTTAAAGTGTATTGTCTCAGAGGCTGCCAGCTGCAGTGCTGGGCTAATAAGAGAGGGCAAGAAAACTTAACTTAGAAAATACAAGTGAATGATCTCTGAAGATTTGAAACAAGATGTGCAAAAGAATGCCCAGTTTTTCAGACTATTCTAATTTTTTGAGTTTCTAACAATTTAAAGAATAATTTCTGCATGAAATTTCTGCATGAAAATTTCTCCACAATGGGGAGCCCTAATGGGAGCACAGGTAACACAATCTGATTTTCAGTGAAGCACTTAGAAAGCATATGCACACTTCAGGGGAGCTCATTTAAAATAATTAATGAACAGTGTAAGTTTTCAACCTGCAACAGTCAAAAAATCAGAACTACATGGCATCTGTCTGAGATCTGTGGCTTCTCAGCTTTCCAAATCTTCTGACATCAGATTCCTTGAACCATAAAAATCATTGCGGTAGATAGGTGTTCCCTTATGTCCACACTTGTGGATGTTTGAGCTTCTCCTTTTCTCTTGGTCCCCTGTGGAAAGGGAGAACAGCTGCTCGCCATTATTTATTTATTTTTGCTTGAAATTTCACTTATGAGCAAAGTATATCTGTCATTCCCCATCACCATAGTTTCCAGTCTACTTATCATCAGTTTCCTTTTATCTTTCCTTAACGTTTCTTTTTGCTAAATTTGTAATAATTTGCTTGTCATGAGGGTCATCTGTGGCTTCTGCTCATTTCTCTTAAAAAATGTGCAGCCATTAACTATGGTTCTAAATAACCTTTAAGTGTATCTGATGAGGTTTCCAATCTATCCCCCTATCATTTTTCATCAGGATGATCCATCTTTAATAATGAATATGGGGGAATAGGTATCTTGTTCTTGTGAGATGCAGACTGGGAGCATCTGGGGAACAGACATTAACAAAAGATTCTGAGAACCAGGATGAAGCTATATAGACTGTTCAGACCCAGGGTAAGCACAGAGGAGAAAACCAGGATGGAGCAAGGAGTCTGAATTTATGCAAGATGAATACACAGCAGGAGGTAGTGAGTGAGGTGAGAGAGAGACAGGTAAACAGAAGCAAATCCCATTCACAGAGGACCTTTCATACTGTGCAACCAGATRAGGATGTAGATGAATTCTGCTTATGGGCAGGGAGGATGTGCATGTTGGTGGTTGGGGGTGATGACTAGATCAGAATATGTAAAACATGTGCAAAACATTAACAAAGAAAACAATTTACACTAAATTTCTTATACTATATTTTCTTGTAATTTCTCCATGGTTTTTTAAAAAAACATGCTTTCTTTCCCTTTTAAATTTTCTTTCTTTAGCTTTTCTTYATTTACCTTTTAAAAAAAGATTTCCACTCAATGTGCCTTTTCTGCAAGGGAAAACAGTTCTGCCTTTTAAAATCCTCACAAGCTTATGAGAGGTACTGATGCAAACTACTGACTTTACAGATTACTATGTGACATAGGGTACCACAGATGAGGTTTGGCAAAGGTACCAAGAAAGAAGATGGATTCTTCCTGGTTGGGGCCTGGGAAGGAAATCAGAGTGAGGGTCACATCTGARCTGAGACTTACAGAATGAGGAGGAGTTCAAAGGACAAGGAAGGAGACCTGGAAGTCGATAGGGAATAATGTAAGAAAAGACACACCAGAGATAAAAAAGGGACAGAATTAAAACAAATGCCTCCATGTCGACTGCTATGGACAACTTCAGATACTGAGGCAGTTGCTAAGTCTGACACACAAATAGGGGTTAAATGGAATGGGTCATATTTAGAATGTGTTGAGTTTGAGGTATTCATGTGCCATTTAGAAATAAAGGAGTGGAGAACGGAAGCAGATTGTAACATACCATAAATAACATCATGGTCTTCCACTAGAAGATCCTGAAATAATGCATGTTCATGTAGGCGTTTAGATATTGAATGCCTTCCCTTTGTGTATCTGGCATTCCCTAAGGTAGATATGGAATGTGCTAKCATCTATGCTAGATGTTGGAGACACAGAGATAAAATGTAGAGGCCCAGCCTTCAAAGACCTTTAAAAGTCTAGGTGGGAAAGTAGATAAGTAAACATATAATCATGTTTACAACAAGGGCTATGGTAYAGATAAGCACTGGGTACTGTGGAAACACATGGAAATTCAGAGACATTTTCTCAGGGAAACAAGATTAGGCCTGAGCTATATATTAAATGTTAAATTGCAATAAGTCAGATAAGAAAAGAGGGGAGTGTTTCTGGTAAGGAAGTGGTATATGCAAATCTAAGGTGGTTTGAATAACATGATGTGCTATGGAAGACACATGGAGTTCCTAATGGYTGTATTCTAGAAGGAGCATGAAGAGAATTAGGCTAGGTAGGCACGGGGGGCCAGATCACGGAGGGCCTAGTCTAGTAGTCTAAGGACCTTGGCATTTATTTAATCAGACGTGAGGAGCCACTGAAATGTTTTAATTAATTATTCTGAATTACTGAATGTTATCTCCTCTTCAGAGCTTTTATATCTCTTTATAATATTGTTTTAGTGAGTGCCCTAGAGGTGAATATTCTTTCCTGTGTCCTTCAGTCCTTGTGATACCAGGCTTCCATCTGAAATCATTTCCTTTAGTATGAAGAAYTTGCTGCAGTATTTCTTATAATATAGGTCTATATACCAATATTTTCTCCAGCTATTATGTGTCTGAAAAATGCATTAATTTCATTTGRACTGTGGGAGAAGATTTTCACTGGGTTTAAAATTGTAGATGGCAAGGTTATTTTTCTTCCTATTCCTTAAAGATAACGTATTTCTTTGCTTCCATAGTTCCTGTTTAAAATCCTACTCTTAATATTATTGATGCTTCTTACTCTGAMTGCTTTTAGGACCTTTATCCATGGATTTCAGAGGTTTTATTGTGATGGATTTAAATACAGTTCTCTGTATGTTTATATTCCTTAAGATTCATAGACATTCCTAAATGCATCTTTCTTCAACTATGACCATTCTCAGCAATTATCTTTCTCCTATAATATTTCTATTTCCCTTCCTGCTGTYTCCTATTATTCTAGGATTGTGATTACATGCATTTTAGAGAGTTTAATTATACCTCAAATCTTTTGATGCTCTTCTTTTCTTTTTTTCTTGTCTGGGCTTCAGTTTGTATCTTTTATGTTACTTTTCTTTGAATTCCCTAGTTCAATCTTTTGCCAGCCTAATCAGTTCCCAATATCAGATTTTATATATGTCTAAAATTACACACACACACACACACACACACACACACACGCACACACACACACTTCTAGAATGCCATTTGGAATTATACATGTTTTCATTTATTTTGTCCATCGTTTTTCTGTTCCATTTATTTATTTATTTATTTTTTGAGATGGGATCTTGCTATGTTGTCTAGCTTGGCCTCCAATTCCTGGACTTAAGTGATCCTCCTGCGTCAGTCTCCTACATATCTGGGACTATAGGTGCACATCACTGCATGTGACTTTTCTTTTTTTGTGTGGAGGGGTACCCGTGGATTGAACTCAGGGACACTCAACCACTGAGCCACATTCCCAGCCTTATTTTGAATTTTGTTTAGAGACATTGTCTCACTGAGTTGTTTAGCACCTTGCTTTTGCTGAGGCTGGCTTTGAACTCCCAATCCTCTTGCCTCAGCCTCCTGAGCCACTGGAATTACAGGCATGCTCCCCTGTGCTCATGTTTTTAATAGCTATTTAAAAGTCCTGATCTGCTAAACACCAATATCTGAATGGGCACTGGTTCTGTTTCTAATGTGTTTTTCCTTCTTGGTTATTGTCACATTTTCCTACTTCTTTGCAAGCCTTATAAGTTTTATTTTTAATTTATATATGACAGCAGAATGCATTACAATTCTTATTACACATATAGAGTGMAATTTTTCATATCTCTGGTTGTAYACCAAGTATATTCACACCAATTTGTGTCTTCTTACATGTACTTTGGATAATAATGATCACCACATTCCACCATCATTTATGTTATTTTCTCCTAGAAAGAGCTTACTCTTTCCTTAGTTTAGCAGAGAGGGTAAGGGGCTGATCATCTTTATCCGATTAGGAACTGAGATGGGTCAGTGCTGAGGTGGAGCTTTAGCTGGTTTAGGCCATGTTTGATATCAAGTTTCTGWTGTAAACCTCTCCCTTTAGTTTTATATTACCTTCTAAGTCCAGCGAGACTGTAGGAAACATTGCTTTACATTTCCAGTCCCATCCACAGTTGCCCACACACTAAAGAACTCAGAGGCTGTCCTGTGGGGAACACTAGCCAAAGCTGTGGGTTTTTTCTAGATTCCAGCACATCACACCAACCCACATAGCCATCAAGACTCTGTGGATTTTACTTGTACATTGAAGAGTCTCTCAGTCTATGGCAAGTTTGTGTCTTAGCAATGCTCAAACATGATAAATCCTCAGAGGAAAGACAATATTTGGCCATCTCTGCYCATCTAGCAAGAACTCTATTATGTTTGGAATTATATTTAATGTGGTTATCTTGGCTTCCATAGCCCTTCGATGGCTTTAAAAATATGATTTGTAATTTATCTGTTTTTTTTTTTATTCCTATCTCTCTGGTACAATGAGAATGATGACTCGCC